TCACCGTCATCGTACCAGATTTTATGATGTTCAACCGAGCGGCAATGTAAGTTGTCCATGATGTAAATTTACATTGCATCGTTTTCCATTTTTTTAGGGCACGCATGGATCCCCCTGGCTTCGAAGCATTCTGTGAGCGTTTGAAAGTGATACAAACCAAAGAGAATAGGATAGTATCGTTACAAATACATGAGCGGTTGCTTCAATACCTTCGAGAGATGATGTGGGTTTTTTACTCCTTACGTGAAATGCTAAGCGAATTTTCAAACGTTCAGGCAATCACTAGCTGGATCCGAAGCTGGTAATGCTTTTCATATGTACTACTCCATTATTGCTAAATACAAGGAGTTTGGCATAGTGCAATTCATGGTGAGACATGCATGTGATGATGGGGATGTTTGTGCAGCGCAGGTAAGATCCAATATTCTCATAACATAAAAATTTCGATAAATATGGACTTTTCTAGACCATAAATTGCTTTTCTGGACTTCGCAGCCACTATCATCCTTCGACCGTCATAATTTACATGTCAAGTGAGTTAATTTTGAATTTAGCTTATTTCTCAGGGTTTTAGTTCTACTGGTAAACGACTGCTCGAGCGTCATACTCATCTCGAAATTCTCTAGGTTTGTTGCATTACAGGAGTTAAGGTAAGCTCAGGTAAGCTACCTTTAAGCCGTGTAGATGGCATGCTATGGAAAAGCACTCCTGCGTTCCAAAATTTTTTTTTAAATTTCTTTCAATCATTTACTGCGCATATCCTACAGAATTTTCTCATTGTTTTTGAGTCAATATTCACCTGAACAGGAGCAAGCAGAAGAAGGTTTTGTACATAATCATCCTATCTCAAAAGGCTTATTCTGGGAACTCACTATGACTGAAGCTCTTCGGATCCAAAGTTCCCCGGGAATAGGAAGAGCATTACAAAATAACGTCAAAGTTTTCGAGCCAACCACGCTCAGCTTCTCAAACCTCAAAAAAAAATGAAAAAAATTTATTGCTGAACTA